AATGTCCACAATTTAGTCGACTGACCACAGCTGGACAGTTTTTACAAAGCTACGCACGCAGGAAAACGTTTCATTTATACTTTTAAATACCATATCAAATTGTTATATTTTAGTTTTCTGGTCTTAACTCTTTAATCCCCAGTAATAACGCTTCACATAAATAACAAGCATTCTGAGAGTATTGCATTAGCAATACTAGTCCCCTACCGGCAAGTGTAATCTGGTTCCCGTTAAGAATTGAAAATGCCATAATTCCGTCAAAAAGTAATGAAGCGGGACGAAATGCAAACTTGATCTATAACTAATCAAGGTAAAGCCACATACCAAAAATCAGCTCAATATCTACAAGCGTTTAGAAGAAAATTGCGGAAAACCCCTTAAAAATTGAAAAGGCCGTAATTTCATGGCCCAGAGTCAGGGGTTCTGGTTTTAGGGCGGGGCTCTAATGATTATATAGTGAAAATGCATTAATTCTTTGAAAATCTTCTCCTCTGCTCCTGGGTATTGAGCCGATGAACTGCACTGTAAGTACAAAGTTATAAAGAGGAAGAGTGCCTCTTCCAAAATTGTGAATTTTATGGCCCAGGGGTGTCGTTGGGGGGGGGGGGGGGTGGGTGGGTGGGTGGGTTATTTATTATGTACTGAAAATGAATTAATGCTTTGAAAATCTCCTCCTCAAGAACCACTGGACCAAAAAAGTTGAAACTTTTAGGAAACCATCTTTACATAGCGAAGATTGAAGTTTGTTCAAACGATGACCCTTGGGGTAGGGTGGGGCCACGATGGGGGATCAAAGTTTTACAAAGGAATATATAGGGAAAAAACTTGTAAAATCTTCTCAAGAACTGCAAGGCCATGATTGGTCATATTGATATGGAAGCATCCTCAGGTAGAGTAGATTCAGGTTTGTTCAAATGATGACCCCCGGGGGTAGGGTGATGTCACAATAGGGAATCAAAGTTTTACATAGGAATATATAGGAAAAAATCCTTAAAAATCTTCTTCTGAAGAACAGCAAAGCCATGATTAGTCATTTTGAAGTAGAAGCATCCTAAGGTAGTGTAGATTCAAGTTTGTTCAAATGATGACCCCCGGGGGTAGGGTGGGGAAACAATGGGGGATCAAAGTTTTACCTAGGAATATATAGGAAAAAATCTTTTAAAATATTTTTCTCAAGAACAGAAAAGCCTTTTTTAGTCATATTGATATGGAAGCATTTTCAGATAGTGTAGATTCAAGTTTGTTCAAATCATGATCCCGGGGGTAGGGTGGGACCACAATGGAGGATCAAAGTTTTACCAAGGAATATATAGGGGAAAAACTTTAAAAAGCTTCTCAAGAACAGCAAAGCCATGATTAGTTATATTGATATGGAAGCATCCTCAGGTATGAAAGATTCAGGTTTCTTCAAATGATTACCCCCCGGGGGGGTAGGGTGAGGTCACAATAGGGGATCAAAGTTCTGCCCAGAAATATATAGGCAAAATATTCTTTTAAAGAACAGAAAAGCCATGTTAAGTCGTATTGATATGGAAGCATCCTCAGGTAGTGTAGGGGTAGGGAGGGGCCACAATGGGGGATCAAATTTTTATGAAGGAATATATAGGAAAAATCTTTTAAAAATCTTCTTCTCAAGAACAGCAAAGCCATTTGTTATATTGATACATGTATGGAAGCATCCTCAGATAATTTAAAATTCAAGTCCCCCCATGTAAACTTTTCAATACTGAACTGATATGTGCTTTTTCCTATCTAATATGCTCAGTTGAGCGATGTGGCCCATGTGCTTCTTGTTTTTAATGAACCTGCAACATTGGTATTTTTACTTCCAATTAACACGTAATAAAAATATGAAAAATATGCCAAATTACATATAAGGTATGCATGTGACTTTAGGAAATACATACACAAATTTAGGTACATGTAATTCATGTATACATGGAATTAAATTAAGGTATCTTTACCTTTTAAGTCTTTATGATTTGAAAAAGATGGATGTTCCTATGCTGAAACAGCTGAACATGTGCATTTGATGACAAAAACTCATTATGGCGGAAGTACCAGGTAAGTAAATAACTTAATCTAGAGATAATTCATGTCATTTCTTGATCACCTTGGTATTAAAACATTTTTATTGAAAACAATATACACAGGTATTTTTGTTACTTTGATTGATATTAATTTATGAAAGAAAACTGTTACTTTGCATGGATTTTATTGATTGTGGAATTTTATTCTAAAACTAAAATTGTGAAGACCTAAGTCTAGTTTTTAGCTCTCCTGTTTGAAGATCTTATATTTACTTGTTGCATTCGTAGATACCAACTTTCTGTATCACAGTTTATATCTAGCATCAGTCTGTCAAGCTGCACACATTTTTTACTTCTCCGCATTAGATGTGCTTGATCAGTTTCAACCAAAATTGTAACAAAAACATTTTTCTTCTCCATATATAGTCATATTGACTAGTCATATTGATATTGAATTTTAAAATTATCCCTATGTTGCGTGGATTCAGATACAGGTTTAGAGTACGTAGGGTCATAATATAAGGTTAGAATTTTTCATGAAAATATAAAAAATGCTTATAAATATAAAACCTAATTAATTATAGATACAGGGAGGTTTGATCCCTTTAACAACTTTCCACTTCTTGGTTGTAGTTCCGTTTTAAATGCGCGCTGGCAACGCAGGCGCTATGCTCAAAGTGCATCTAATACTAAAATCGCAGACATACAGAAAAATCTGATCCTGACCTTGCATAAGAATATAAACACCTGGAATGATAACACCTGACCTGTATTGAGTTTCATGATATTTATTAATGACACTTTGAGCACAAGTAACAAAGATACATGTAGTAAACACATTTGTTGCAATACATAAGCATTATTGGAGTTAAAAGGCTGCAATTGTTTTTTGGGGGGATTGGGGGTACCTACAAATGTACATAATTAATTGTGGGCACATAGAGGGCCGAGTGTAAGCTCAAGTGCCCGATCCGAACGGTCACCACATTCTAGACCAGTGTATGTATGACTGCCCCTCTAACTGTCTCCAGCACTACTGGTTTACACATTTACTTTACCAGACTGGCTTCAACTGTGGGTTGAAAAATTTGACTCACCGCTTCCAGGGGTGTTTGTATTTGTTGCTGGTGGTGACAACATTCGCGCAGAAGGGGGAATATCCACAGATGGTGGAGGTAGAGATTCTGATAGACTTCAAACTGTTGATGTAAAACTTTGATCCCCCATTGTGACCCCACCGTACCCCCGGGGGTCATCATTTGAACAAACTTGAATCTACACTACCTGAGGATGCTTCCATATCAATATGACCAATCATGGCTTTTCCATTCTTGAGAAGAAGATTTTTAAAGATTTTTTCCTATATATTCCTATGTAAAACTTTGATCACCCATTGTAACCCCACCCTACCCCCGGGGATCATCATTTGAACAATCTTGAATCTACACTACCTGAGGATGCTTCCATATCAATATGACCAATCATGGCTTTGGTGTTCTTGAGAAGAAGATTTTTAAATATTATTTCCTATATATTCCTATGTAAAAATTTGATCGTCCGTTGTGGCCCAACCCTACACCCAGGGTTCATGATTTTAACAAACTTGAATCTACACTACCTGAGGATGATTCCACATGAGTTTCATCTTTCCTGGCCCAGTTGTTCTTGAGAAGAAGATTTTTAAAAGATGCTATTAATTTTGCACTAATTTGTAATTATCTCCCCTTGGAAGAAGGTTTGGCCCTTCATATGAACAAACTTGAATCCCCTTTACCCAAGGATACTTTGTGGCAAGTTTGGTTGAAATTGGCCCAGTGGTTCTTGAGAAGTAGTCGAAAATGTGAAAATGTGAAAGACAAAATGTGATCAGAAAAGCTCACTTGAGCCTTCGGCTCAGGTGAGCTAAAAAGAATAAAATCCCCATGTCCACGTTTCAGTTTATGAACATAAAGTCGAACATAAAGACGACCCTTTACCGTGGCAGCCCCTATCTTCTGGTAGTGTAGGTTTAAGCTTGTTCTGATTATGGCCTCCATAGGTACGATATCGATGCAGACGTGCCAACCCTTCCACTTTTGTGTAGTTCTTCCACTTTCTACTATTTAATTACGCTGTTATACCATTTAAACCATTTTCACGCTTTAAGAATTTTGATGCTTCAGATTCTGTAGAATTTTTATGAAGACTTACTTTTGTGCTTAAGCCGAACTATGAATATAAAAAGGAGACCAATAAAACGTTTGACATATAGGGTTCTTTAATTAATATAATAATACATAATACAATGCTATTTTATTTTAATACTGAAATGGCTTTTTAATGTGCGGCATGTAAAAGATCCAGAGAAGGGAAGGGGCCTATCATAGGCAATGAAATTTTACTTAATTTTATTGATAAGATGATAAGTGGAATTAGTACGGGTAAAATACATATATTGCAATCTGCAAGCAACCTTTCACATGTCTATTTAGTGCCTGAAATTGAAATATGATACCGTTGTTGTACAACAATGGGCTATATTTACATGACCGCAGAGGGCTTGCATTCTTGAAGGCAATATTACAATTGTTATAATCAATTGTATTAAATGAATGAAGGGCAATGTTTTACTCCCTTTAGTTATACCATATATAATATATCAAGTTTTATCAAATAAGGATTTTAATTAGAATGGAACCACTGTTCTAACGAACAGCAGGACAAAGGTGACACAGGTGACCATTGTGACATATTGACCTTTCGTTTAAAGGCTCTTTGAAGAAGCTATCATAATTTTAAAACCAGCTACCTAACACCAAGTATCACAAAAGATGGTTAGATATATTTATTTGCAAGATATTCATGCAACAGGAGTGCAATTCATTCTGTTGTTTACTTTATAAAAAGGCAATTTGTGAGGTAATATACATTGACTATTTTAAATATTGTTGCTACAGTATAATTAATTGCTTTAAACATCTATCAATCATAGGAATGCAGCACCATGCATTCATTAGAAATACCCTTCTTGATGAGCTACAAAGTATTCTTCACGAGTATCCAGATAATGAACAAATCATCAAGGTAAGATAGACGTGAAGTGATTGTCACTCGATCTGAATTTATTATAAAATATATATATAGAATTGTTCAGGTACACAATAAAATGGTTTGCTCTCAGAATCAAGCCATTCCAAGTTTTTTTTTTTATGTTTAGCGTCCGCTTTTGTTTTGAACACCCCTTATCGAAAAAAAACCCAACAAAATAGGGAGTCATGAAATTGATTATTGTCGATATCTTTGATTTCTGTCAGTTTCTCTTAAATTATATGTTTACAGTATGTCATATATAAAGCATATTTTATCATCTAATAAAGTAACCTTGATTTTGCTAAAGAATAGATCTTTCTACCAGAAAAAAAGATCAATGATCTCAAATCACTTGATTTTTATGATTATAAAGTGCGTGTTTTATTTTTTAGCTTATGTTATTATTATTTTTTTTTGCAAATACGTACATGTAAGTTGGACGCGAAATAAAGGAGGAACTTGGAATGGACTCAATTAAATGTTGCAAGAAAAAAATTTATCGAAGCATTGAATGATTAGATTACCTGAGCTATACATGAAATGTTTGATATAATTATTACGAGAATTGAATGAGATTGTAAAGAAAAATGTGAAAATTTATTTTCCTAATCATTAAAGCTGTACTTTTAGGAGCTGTTACAAAATGCAGAAGATGCTGGTGCCCGTGTTGTCAAAATGGGATTCTGTCCCTACTCCAGATCAGATCACCTACCCGATCCGTACAGACAGTATCTATCTGTGAGTCCAGTTTTGTTTGTACAAGCTTTGTCTTTTTTTTACGTTTATTTTTATTCAGGAAACATAAAATACAAGCTACAGAAAAGTTCATCCTCCAAATATGTATGTATTTCATGCACAGTAATATATGCGGAAAATAACTCGCAGTTTTTGTTTTAATTAAATGCTACATTCATGATATTAACTGAGCTGTCAATTCAGAAACTGTGAATATATTTGTCCAAAAACAAATTGATTATCTGTGCGAATCCAAATACACAGGAAAAGATGCAAAAGAAAAATACTGTATATCAGCAAATTTTCGCGACACTTTATTTTGCGAGATATTTTTTGGCATTAATAAAATAAAGAGGTTATTAATTCATCTCAGCTGAAAGCTTAAGTTAGCTTTTCTGATCGATGGGTGTCTGGCGTCCGTTTGTCATTTATCGTTTGTAAACTTTTCAGATTTTCGAATTCTTCTCAAGAACAACTTGGGCAAATTTGAAAGAAACTTCTCGCAAAGCTTCCCTTGGTAAAGACCTTCCTCAAATTAAATGAAGGGCCTCAATATCTGAGAATATTGTGTTTGTGCATAGGAAAAATTGAATCATAATTTATCATACATGTAATTTGCAGGAAATTCATCAACCCGTAATGTCCGGATGTATTTCCTTTGGAGAAGTGGGCCACAACACGCATCTGAGTCACAATTTGGCCAAGCAGATTTTTTAAAAAAAAAAAAATTCCCTCTTAACGTTGTGAACAACAATTTAGATCTAAAGGAGTTACGATTGGCAACATTGGAATGCTTCAATACCAGAAAAAAAATTAACATGGACATGCAGTTTAATTGGAATTTTTCCTCCTTTACATATATATGCATGTAATAAAATGTGGAGTTTTGTTTCGGCTAAACACGTACTCCAAAAACGACTAAAGATGCTTTAAAAATCTACTCTACACTTTTTTCGCTTATCAATAAGATTTAATTTGATCTTGAAACTCTTTTTTTCCCCCAAAGACTTCGTTCTGTGTACCCCCATGTAAAACTCTGATCCCCTGTTGTAGTCTCAACCTAAGCGTGAGGGCCCTGATCGGAACTAACTAAAAATAAGCTTTTTGAGGATGTTTGAATATCAATATGCCTTATAATAGCTTTGCAGTTCATTAGAAATATTTTTAAAAAGGTTTTTCTATAATAATCATATTATAAAACTTTGATCTTCTATTGTAGCCCGACTCTACATCTGGGGAGTAATGATTTGAACAAACATGAATCCACACTATCTGAGGACGCTTTCACTTTAATATGACTAAACATTGTTATATTGTTCTCCAGAAGATTTTTGAAGTTTTTTTCAAATATTCTTTCTTATAAGAAATACGTGATTGGAACAAACTTCAGTTGAATCTACACTCCCTAGTGTGCTCTGTAAAAATATGAATAATCATTGATCTGATGTTCTTAAAAAAAGATTGTTTCTAAATTAGTTTTTTTGTTTCGATTTTTCCTATATTCTTAAATGCAGAACTTTTATCGCCTAATGTGACCCTGCACAGGCCAAAAGGATCATGATTTTAACAAATATGAAAGCAATCTACCAGAGAACCAGCTTCTCTAGTTTTGAAAAAAAAAATTACCTATACATGTCTATGTAAAACTCTTATCGCTTTTGATGGCCCCACCCTAGCCAAGGATCACGGTTTAAACAATATTGAGTTTACACTATCCTGCAATAAAGCTTTCACGTTAGTTTCAATCACTGTGGTTTTTGAGAAAAAGATTTTTAAAAGTTGCCTTTAAATTTTAACTACTTCATTTTCTCCTCTTGAAAAAGGGTGTGACCCTTCATTTGAGGAAGCTCTTCCACCCAAATTGTAGAGTTCATGGCCCCTGATTGGTCTAGGGTTCAATTTCGATTTTATATTTGGGTTTTTGAATACTGTTAAAAGGTTATTAATATTCCTCTTACAGTTTTAGTTTATTTGCACTAGACATGATACACAGGAGAAGTAATTCTTTAATCAGACTGTATTAATTTCAAGGAAAATTGTTACCATGGTTATTTAAGACAATTTTTTTGAAATGCTATCTACTTCTCTAACATTTGTGGTTAGACTTCGATGAAGCATCAAGATGTTACCACGTACAAAGCTTTAACCTTACACAAGATTTCTGGTTTCTGAATGCAGTGATATTGCTGAAGATTTCCCCTATAATTTAAAATAAAAATCGTAGTTCAAGAATGACCCATGGGCCTTTAATTATGTTCCCCAAACGAAGTTTGGGAACATATTGTTTTTACTCTGTTTCTTCTTCTTCTTATTATTACATGTATGTTCCCCAAACGAAGTTTGGGAACATATTGTTTTTACTCGGTTTCTTATTATTATTATTATTATTAAGGTCTTCCGTCTTCAGCGGAAGACCTTCTTGTTATTCTTAGGTTTCTTTTCCACTATTTTTATTATTATTATTTTTTTTCTTACCGATTTTGTGCACGCGAGTTCTCGGAAACGGCTCGATGGATTTTCATGAAACTTTCAGGTCTGATAGAACATCAAAAAATCTAGACATGTATTTTTTTATTTTGATGACGTCACTTCCAGTTCGGAGATTTCTACGATTTTGCGATTTTTAGAGGGTCACTTTGTCCGGCAATGTTCTCAAAAACCACTGAACATAGACGTATGAGATTTTCAGTGATGATAGAGCAAACTATGGAGAATTGAATTGTGTATATCATATCCACCGGAAGTACGAAGCGCCGACGCTCGCTATTGCTCGAAAATAGTATTATTGAAAACTTCAAAATTTCTTACACCTTTTCTACAATATCTTTTTACCTGTAAATATTTTGTTAAAACATATAGAACAAAAGTTGTGTAGAATGTTACGATCTTTCAAAGGATATCAACAGTAAGGGGCTGGTCCCTAAAATTAGGGAGCTAGAGGGGCCAAAATTGTTTTCCAGATATCTCAAAAAGTATTGAGAATTTGTAAAGCATCATAGAGGCAAAGTTGTTTAAAATGACAAGAAGCAGCTAAGGAGATCATTAAAAGTCGTCAAAATGACGTCACTTCCGGTCAAACCGGAAGTAATGGTAAATGGCTCATTCTTGCTCATATGACCGTAGATGTCTCTCGATCTCGATCCCATCTCCTTGAAATTTAGACGGAAGACTTATTTGTTGTTTTGCAACAAGCTCGTCTAGTTAAGGTCTTCCGTCTCCAACGGAAGACCTTATTGTTTTCGTTCGGTTTCTTTTTCCCTATTATTATTATTATTATTATTCTTCTTCTTACCGATTTTGTGCACGCAAGTTCTCGGTAACGTCTTGGCCGATTTTCATGAAACTTTCAGATCTGATAGGTATTGATCTGAACCTTATTGGAAATTTTTTTCGTTGATGACGTCACTTTCCATCTCGAGATATTTAGGATTTTCTGATTTTCAGAGGGTCGGCCTGTCCTGGAAACTCCTCCGAAACGACTTAAGATATTGAGTCAAGATTTTCAGTGAAGGTAGGGGAAGGTTTGTAGATTTGCAGGCAGGTGTCCAAATCTCTCTAGCGCAAAAGGCGCCGAAGCTCGGTAGGGCTCAAAAAATGTCTCAGAAACATCTCACAAAATTTTACACCTTTTCTTTTGTATCTTCATACATGTTAAGAATTTGTTAAAACATATAGAAGAAAAGTTGTGCAGAATGATACGACCTTTCATTTGATATCAAGAAAAAGGGGCTGACCCCTCAAATTAGGGTGTCAGAGGGGCCAAAAGTCTTCAACCTATAACTCTTTAACGATCAATAATTTGTAATACATTACTGAAGCAAAGATGCTTATCTTAACGATTTACATCAATATATGATAAGAGTCAGATCATATGTTACATAATAAGGGGTCACAAGGGGCCAGAATACTAAATCTTTGACGCTTTATATCTCGAAAAGGGGGAATATTTTGATAAGCAATACTGAACAAAAGATGGTCAGAATAATGTTCTAAACAATATGCACCCTTTCAATTTTTGTCAAACGGCCCCATTAAGGACTTGGAGGGGTGGCCCCTAAGTATTTCCATTCAGCATATCTCAACAACGAAAAGAAATCTCTGAATAGTTGTTGAACAAAAAGTCTTCAAAATCACAAGACCTTTCATTTGATATCAAGAAAAAAGGGCTGGCCCCTCAAATTAGGGACTCAGAGGGGCCAATAGTCTTTCACCTATAACTCTTTAACGATCAATAATTTGTAATACATTACTGAAGCAAAGATGCGTATCTTAATAATTTACGACAATATATGATAAGATTCTGATTATATGTTATGTAATAAGGGGTCACAAGGGGCCAGAATGCTAAATCTTTGACGCTTTATATCTCGAAAAGGGGGAATATTTTGATAAGCAATACTGAACAAAATATGGTCAGAATAATGTTCTAAACAATATGCACCCTTTCAATTTTTGTCAAACGGCCCCATTAAGGACTTGGAGGGGTGGCCCCTAAATATTTCCATTCAGCATATCTCCATAACGAAAAGAAATCTCTGAATAGTTGTTGAACAAAAAGTCTTCAAAATCACAAGACCTTTCATTTGATATCAAGAAAAAGGGGCTGACCCCTCAAATTAGGGACTCAGAGGGGCCAATAGTTTTTCACCTATAACTCTTTAACGATCAATAATTTGTAATACATTACTGAAGCAAAGATGCTTATCTTAACAATTTACGACAATATATGATAAGATTCTGATTATATGTTATGTAATAAGGGGTCACAAGGGGCCAGAATGCTAAATCTTTGACGCTTTATATCTCGAAAAGGGGGAATATTTTGATAAGCAATACTGAACAAAATATGGTCAGAATAATGTTCTAAACAATATGCACCCTTTCAATTTTTGTCAAACGGCCCCATTAAGGACTTGGAGGGGTGGCCCCTAAATATTTCCATTCAGCATATCTCCATAACGAAAAGAAATCTCTGAATAGTTGTTGAACAAAATGTCTTCAAAATCACAAGACCTTTCATTTGATATCAAGAAAAAGGGGCTGACCCCTCAAATTAGGGACTCAGAGGGGCCAATAGTTTTTCACCTATAACTCTTTAACGATCAATAATTTGTTATACATTACTGAAGCAAAGATGCTTATGTTAACGATTTACAACAATATATGATAAGATTCTGATCATATGTTACGTAATAAGGGGTCACAAGGGGCCAGAATGCTAAATCTTTGACGCTTTATATCTCGAAAAGGGGGAATATTTTGATAAGCAATACTGAACAAAAGATGGTCAGAATAATGTTCTAAACAATATGCACCCTTTCAATTTTTGTCAAACGGCCCCATTAAGGACTTGGAGGGGTGGCCCCTAAATATTTCAACTCAGCATATCTCCACAACGAAAAGAAATTTCTGATTAGTTGTTGAACAAAAAGTCTTTAAAATCACAAGACGTTTCATTTGATATCAAGGAAAAGGGGCTAACCCTTCAAATTAGGGGCTGAGAGGGGCTAAAAGTCTTTCGTCTATAACTCTTTAACGATCAATATTTTGTTATACATTACTGAAGCAAAGATGCTTATTTTAACGATTTACAACAATATATGATAAGAGTCAGATCATATGTTACATAATAAGGGGTCACAAGGGGCCAGAATGCTAAATCTTTGACGCTTTATATCTCGAAAAGGGGGAATATTTTGATAAGCAATACTGAACAAAAGATGGTCAGAATAATGTTCTAAACAATATGCACCCTTTCAATTTTTGTCAAACGGCCCCATTCAGGACTTGGAGGGGTGGCCCCTAAATATTTCAACTCAGCATATCTCCACAACGTAAAGAAATCTCTGAATATTTCTTGAACAAACGTTTTCAAAATCACAAGACCTTTCAATTGATATCAAGAAAAAGGGGCTGACCCCTCAAACTAGGGGCTCAGAGGGACCAAAAGCATGTCATCTATAGCTTTTTTAATAATGTTATATAAATTAAAAGAATGAAATCTAATTAGCGAAGTCTATGTATTATTATCTTTTAACAAAGATCATAGTCAAAATCATGTCTCATCTTATCGAAAAATCGGACGGAAGACCTACTCGTTGCTCGCAACGAGATCTCATCTAGTTATTATTATTATTCTTTTTTATTCTTATTTCTTCTCCGGTACTTTTTTGTCCGCGAGTGTTCTCGGAAACTGCACATCCAATTGAGTTAAAACCTTTTTAGGGTTACTAGGTATGTTATGTAGATTTGCGGAACGAAGGTCATTTTGCGCGCACGTGCACGCACGTGCGTGCGCGTGCAATGCGTAAAATGACCAATATACATGATATAGCTGTAACTTTTATATTTTTTGATGAAATGCTTTGATACTCAGAATACAAGGATATATTAAAAGTGTAGACAAGATGACATGGTCAACATGCACATGCATGCACGTGCGCGCACGCGCAAATCGTAAAATGACCAATTTACTTGATATAGACGTAACTTTTATATTTTTTGATGAAATGATTTGATTCTCAAAATATTTATATATATTAAAAGTGTAGACAGGATGACATGGTCATCATGCACATGCATGCATGTGCATGCACGTGCGCGCGCATGCAATGTGTTAAATGACCAATATATTTAATATAGTCGTAATTTTTATATTTTTTGATGAAAAGCTTTGATATTAAGAATATACAGATATATTACAAGTGTAGACAAGATGATGTGGACATCATGCACATGCATGCACATGCGCGCACGTGCAATGTGTTAAATGATTAATATACTTAATATAGCCGTAACTTTTATATTTTTTGATGAAAAGCTTTGATACTAAGAATAAACAGACATATTATAAGTGTAGACAAGATGGCATGGTCATTATGAACATGCATGCAGGTGCGCGTGCGCGCAATGCTAAGATGACCAGTATACTTGATATAGCCGGAACTTACATATTTTTGATGAAATGTTTTGATACTGAGAATATAAAGATACATTAATAGTATAGATGGGATGACATGGTCATACTGCACATGCATGCACGTGCGCGCGCGTGAAATGGAAAAAACGACCAATATACTTCATTGCCTTATTTAATGAAGCTTACAGGAAATAAGACACCAAAAGGGAGTTGGGGAGCGTTTGGGGAACATCTGTAACGGTGCCCGTTACAATTATAACTAGTTATTATTCTTTTTTTCTACTTTCTTCTCCGGTACTTTTTTGTCCGGGAGTGTTCTCATAGATCCACTCATCCGATTGACATGGAACCTTTTTAGGGTTAATAGGCATGTTGTGTAGGTGTTCGGAACGAAGGTCATTTTGCGCGCACGTGCATGCACGTGCGCGCACGTGCAATGAGTGAAATGACTGATATACTTGATGAAGCCGTAACTTTTATATTTCTTGATGAATTGCTTTGAAACTCAAAATATAAAGATATATTAGTAGTCTAGACAAGATGACATGGTCAAATTAGCGTGAACTCACGCGCATGCACGTGCGCTCTTCTCTGATTGGCTGATACAAAAATCTCAATATTTTCCTTGTTTTTTGACAAAATACTTTGAAAATTAGAATATAAGTATATATTATAAGGTGCTACAACATTTTATATAGGAAATTTCTTGAAAACACGCGCATGCAGGTGTGTTGCAATCTGATTGGTTGAAACTTTAAATGTCTATAACTCCCTTGGTTTTCCACAAAACAGGATGAAATTTACGACATGGAAAGGCACATAGAGCTCCTACATTATGATACTATCAAAATTGAATGCAAGGCCATGCATGCGCGTATGCTGAATTCTGATTGGCTAATACTTAAATGGTCACATCTCTCTTATTTATCAATGAAATTCTTTAATATTTAACACAAATGTATGTATTGTGAGACACTATAAGAAAATTAATGTGAAAAATGTAGAAAACATGTGCAAGCACATGCACTGAAATTTGATTAGCTAATACCCATATGGCTATATTGGAGTAGTTTTCCAATGAAATACCCTTAAATATAAAGTGTCCATCTATATTACAAAAGTATTGTCTAATTTATTGAAGCTTGAAGGGAATGGGGCATCATAAGGGATTGGGGAGCCGTTTGGGGAGCATCTGTAACGGTTCCCGTTACAATTAGCACTAGTTACAAATGTAGTTTGTTGATACTTGTATTTCATTATCATATACATATTTTCAGGGACCTGCTCTTTGTTTTTACAATGACTCAGTCTTTGAAGAGAAGGATTGGGAGGGAATCACAATGGTCAGGAAGAGCAACAAACAAGACGATCCACTTAAAGTTGGGAAATTTGGGATTGGATTTAAGTCCGTGTTTCACATAACAGGTGAGAACTAATCAGTGAAATGTAAATTGTCTAAAATGTTATAAGGATGATATTTTTAGACTAGCATTAAATCAACAAGCAAAGGAGGCATTCAATCCAGTATTCCAAAAAAAAAAACAAAATCAGCATCGATTTTATAACTAAGTTGTTTAGTTAATAACTAAATAACATGCTTGCAGTTTACTTGTTAAAGAAGTGTTAAATGGTCAGGGGGATATTATGGATCAGTAGAACAGTACATAATGTAAGTCCAATAAAAAAAGACACTCAGTGGGGGATCATTTGTTTATTTTAAGATCTGATAATTTCAGAGCCCTGAAATTAATAATAAATGATTAACAAACACATGTCAATCTGCAAGTCAAATAATTATAAACACAAAACAAGACAAATATAATCATCATAATATGTTGACGGTGCGACCGTTAGGGCGAGCGCAGATACACCTTTTCAGTGTACTATTTGCTATTTAGACTCATCTCTTCAAACCGCACGTGGCATTTGGTCCGTCTAGATACTCTGACGACACATAACGTTGTAAATATAAGTTGCATTACTAAACCGAAGCCTGAGCAGTGCTGATTTTAATGGAAAAGATTTATTTACTATGTATCTGCAACATATTCAAGGTGAGTTTGTTTTTTTGTTGTTGAACTTTTATTGTTATTCTCGCGATAACGTAGCTTAAACAAGCGATGCATTGTGGTCCAGAAATTACTGCGAAAAAAAAATCATTTGGATCAATGTGCAAGTCCGAATTTTCTCTTCGCCCAGGCGTTGTCGTTAGAGCTCGCAGTGAGCGCCGCTCGCTGCGCTCGCTTATATTCAACATTATTATATCATCATTCATGTATATGATATACTGCACTCTATTCAAGGGCAATAGATTTGATTTCAACTGAGCAAATTTATAAAACTTTACAGATAAAACATAAGATTAAATAGATTTTTGTAATTTTTCTTGGAAAATTATAAAATATTTCTCAAATATACTTTTAAACCAATGATTTTATCAATTAATTTAAAGTGTTAAAATATATCTAAAATATCTTCTTTCAAAATTCTCAAAAAACAAGTATGTCTGGAAGTCGAATACATTTGATTACCTGTATATCATACAGCTTTAAAATGCAAGAGAAACCAGCTAGCACCTGCATCAACAAATTATACATGTAGGTATAAAACAGTTAAAGGTCCTGTACATGTATATATACTTTTTGTATTTCTAATTTCAGATATTCTGTAAGGCAGGGTATTACTGAAAACCAATAAAAGTAACTTTGAATACGAAAAATGATTAACTTTATTCAAATGTTTTGCTTTAGATTAACTTTATATTTAATTTGAATGTAAAAGTCAAAAGTAAGGAATACTAATTAACCACCAAAATTGGTAAAATTAGTTAAGAGGAAAATAACCTGCTTCTTACTTAGACCAAGGTCTGGGTTGAGAGTGAAATATATGCACTGCATGGCTGACAGGCTAAACTATACAAAATGGAGGGATATTAAACAAAACTATTACACCAAATGATACTACAAAACACGATCAGGACAAAAACACTCTACACAACCACATTGCTAGGAAAACAATGAAATGACATAATCGAACATACACCGTGTATAGCGTTTTCATAAAATTTGTTTAATCTGATTATAAAGTGTACTACAAATACTGATGTCCAAATTATGATTGACAAAATCAGCATAAATTGCAATGCAAAATTTGACAGATGTCACCTTTATGCTTAAAAAATGAATAGTCCTATCATAGGGTCAATGAACCTGAAGTCTCATACATGCTTCATCAATGAAACAAGGTTATGATTTTGAATTCAAAAAGGTCCAAGGGTGTGATAGATGTTTGCAATCCTCTAATGAAAATATAAATTTATGGATGTTATGCGGCCTTTTAGTTCGTAATTTAATACATGTTCAATGACTATAGGAAGAAGTGTCAAGAAACATTGTGGGTGCTTTTGTTATCAGTCTAAAGTCGTGAGCGTTATTTTTACCACAGGTATCCTGGGATAAAAAAAGTCCCAACAATTGATTGCACTATTCTATTTGTGAGTCTATATATATATATATATATATATATATATATATATATATATATATATATATATATATATATATATATATATATATGTGTGTGTGTGTGTGTGTGTGTGTGTGTGTGTGTGTGTGTGAGAGAGAGAGAGAGAGAGAGAGAGAGAGAGAGAGAGAGTGTGTGTGTGAGGGTGTGTGTGTGTGTGTATTATGGTTAAGATCAGATGACACGTTCCTCAAAATTATGTTTTGTATACCTTGGTATTTTCGATCAAATATTACTCATATTTGTCATTCTCTTGTCATTTTAAATTGTTTTCAATATGATTCAAAAAATAAGTACACCAACAATTGTGACTTTAGAAATTCAAAAGATTACCCATATGGTATCTTGCCTAAATGCCTTGTAAGGTACCTCAATTTTTGGCGAGGAAACTAGTTTAAGTAGCAATACTTCAATGACAAATTTCTATGAAAAATTATATATTTTCAAGGAACATGTCGTCTGACCTTAAAGCTTATTTAGAAATATTAAAATAAAATAATGCTTATTTAAAAATATTAAAATAAAATATGCAAAATACAGCAATTGCTACAATTCTTTAAGTAAAATAAACAAAAATCAAAGGAAACAACTAGGTACCTACTTTTTTTCCTGCTAATTAAACAAAACTTAAATAACCCTAAAACAAAACATGGTTATTTTAGAACTCTATCTGTATAGATATACTTTTAACATGACTTATGTGATTAAAACTAGTGTAAAAGGATTGAAAGAAAGTATAATACAGTGTGTACATGTAGTAAAAGGGCTCATTTCTTCCAAATGAAAAGTAACAAACAACAACAACAACAAAACAAAAAAAACCAAACAAACAAACAAAAGACAAATCAAAAACAAACAACAAAAATTAAAAACAGAAACAAGTTAAATAAAAATCATTTAAGTGATTTTACTATGTAGACAAAGGTCTAAATCAAAGTTATCAGATGATTGACTTTTGTGTTCCATCCTTCTGTTGTCTGACTGTATGGTCAATTTTCACATTTCCACTTCTCAAGAACCAAGGGGCCAATTTCAACCAAAGTCACATGAATTTCTGAGAGATGGGGATTCAAATACATGGCATTAGGAAATTGCAGTGGAGTTGTTTAACTTTTTTAAAAGGATTACTGAATCAGAAGTAACAATTTCTAATTGTTATTTGAAATCAAGTTTCCTTTTTGACCGTAGATTTATTTTTGTTCAAAACTTTGGCCTGGTGTTAGTTTACGATAACGGATAAACATAGGGATATATACAATATATATATATATATATATATATATATATATATATATATATATATATATATATATATATATATATATATATATATAGTGGTCGGTGATAAATATGAAAAATATTCAAAATATAAAAACACAGAGAACGAGTAAAACATTTCCACCTCTCCAGAACCACGGGGCCAATATACTCGTTCTCCAGAACCACGGGGCCTATATACTTGTTCTCTGTTTTTGTATGTTTGAATATTTTTCATATATATATATATATATATATATATATATATATATATATAGAGAGAGAGAGAGAGAGAGAGAGAGAGAGAGAGAGAGAGAGAGAGCAGAACATCAGGTCTGTTTATTAATAGTCTAAATTTCTAGTCCTTCTGGATACTCGTAGATAGAGCAAGAATTGGATATAAAAGTTTAAGTAGAGAAAATAATAAAGAACACCAGTCTTAGGTTAGTCAACATCATAAGCAAGAATACAAATGTAGTTAGATTTAACTTTTTTTTCAAATCATGACTAACTGGAGATAGACCATAATATTAAGTGATAAATGTTTACACAGGAATCCATGAAGTGATAGGATCCTTAAGAGGGGGTGAAAGTTTACTTTGGAAGACAAGGAGAGTAATCTTTACAATTGTTTTATGCCGGGACATATTCAGTAAATAAAAATAGAGCATGAACATGTTCATAAGATTCATAATTCTAATCATAGCTGCTTGGACTAGGTCACAATTAGGATTTATAACTTACTCAAACTCTATTAACGTCTGCAAAATGCACAACATAGCATGCTGTAAACTTCACAATAGACAGCAATAAACTGTATATTAAGTAGAATTACAAAAGCACTTAAGATTTGACAGCTACACTAAGATGTTTTCATTTATGACTACAAATGTATTTGTCAAGAAGAGAAATGCAGCCTGTGGGCATCTTATTTAATTTTTGCCTGTTATTAACCATATACCTGCATTTAAAAAAAAAACAAAACATTCGTTACAGATACAGTTTGTGTCATCAGTGGAACCAAAATTTTGTTCATTGACCCTTTGTCTGAGCTTCGGGATCCTAACAAAGTTTGCAGTATTGCTCCAATAGCAAATTATGTGCATCCAAATGTGTGCGGACCAAGGGGTTTGGAGCCATTGTATAACCTGTTTGACATAAATAAAGAAACTTCCAGAAATGGAAAGTTCAAAGGGACTTTTTTCTGGTTTCCCCTTAGAAAATCACCATCACAATTGTCAGAGAATACATACTCACCTGAAAAAGTGGAAGATCTGTTCAAGTCTTTTAAAGAAGAGATGAGCTCTGAACTGCTGTTTTTAACCTCAATTGAAAAAATCGGAATATACAAAATTGAAAATGATAGATGTGAATCTGAGTGTACCATTGCTTTAGATCAAAGCTGTGCAGAGAAAACAAGAAATGAAAGACAGATCTACAAGGCAAAAATCAGAGATATTGAGGTAAATATGGCTCAGGATGACAGACGGATCAGTCAATGTAACCCAGTATGGATGAAAAATATGGTTACATATAGGATTAAGATGAATAAACTAGAGATACTTCAGGTATGGTTCATTGTCCACTATTTTCATGCAGGAAGAATGAATAAAGAGCTTTTCAATCTTATCAGAAATCGGCGGTCTAAATACAGGCCATATATCGGAATTGCAGCCAGGCTTGATGAACCTATTCAGTGCAGTCAGTTATTTTGCCTCCTGCCTCTCCCTTTTGAGGATGAAAGTCCGACAGGATTGCCTGTTCACGTAAATGGATTCTTTGCTCTTGACAGTAACAGACAGCATCTTAAATGGCCATCCCATGATCAGAAAATAAGCCATTCACACTTAGAAAATGACATGCTTTGGAATGTACTAATGGTACAAGAAGTTTTACCTGTGGTTTACTTAGAATTTTTGACGTCATGGAAAGATGATTCGTTTGCATCTGAGTTGACTAGAAAGTACTTGAAAATGTTTTATCATCACATCCCAAGAATGACAATGATCAAGAATCATTGGACATGTGTTGGCGAAAAAATGCACCAGCACCTACTCGAGTCCGAAATTCCTTGCCTTGAGAGTGGAAAATGGATTCAGACTAAGGAAGCATATTTTGCTGTCTTTGCAGAGAACACCCAGGAAGATGAGAGGAAAACTGTGAAAAAACTTTTTCAGAAATGTACAAATAAAGTCATTGTTTTAAAAGGACATGAGGAGCTCTTTCATCACTGGTCAGGTTCTGATACCAACTTTGTTTTGAAATGTACCAATCCCAAAGAAACCAGGGATCTTCTTAGAAGAGACCAAACATACAAACAGCTAAGTGCCAATAGTAAAGGACATCTTCTTGTCTACATATGTAGCGATAGAAAACTTGCAGATTTAAATGAAATAGAGTTATTACCACTGCAAAATGGGAGGTACGGAACTTTGCAACTGAGAAGGAGGGGGCCTCAAAATACTGTTTACTTATGCAAAGAGGATGAACTGCAGATTCTGACTGGTAAAGAGAGTGTTCTGATTTTGAATACAAATGCCACCTCTGAAGTTGGAAAAGTTTTAGAGTCTCTTGCATCAACAGGTACACAATAACAGAAAAATTAATAAAGAAAGTTTTCAATTCAAACAGGAGTAAAAAGAATTTGCTTAATTTTAAAAATCTATACTCTTTGAAAGCCTTTTGCTGATTTAGCTAAAAAATGTAAAAAAAAAAATGAAACCTTGAAATTATTAAATATTCACAACATTTTAATAACTTTGCTGAAAATAGCCGTTTGGATCATAGTACATTTTTTTTTATATTTTGCAGGATACTACTCATTCCAAAAATTGAATGTCAACGCCTTTTTAAACTTTTTGACGGAAGTTACTCAACAACAAATGGAAAAAATTAGAGATCCCGTGTTTTTGATGGACAGCAGCGCTGTTTTTGGAGAATATTGGCTAAGGAAAGTTTGGCTATATCTAAAACATAAATGTCCAACATCTTTGGACCCTGTTAAAGAACTTAATATAATCAAAACAAAAGAATCAGGGGTACTGAAAAAATTATCTGATGCATTTATCAGCGAAGCTGATACAAATGGGTCTCACATAGAAATTTTGAAAAAATTCAAAATTTGGATAGTTGATATGAATTTTCATGACCATCCATTGCTTGCACCAGGAAAGGGAATTGTTGTAGAAAATACAGATGACGGGAAGGCAAAGATTTTACAACGTTGCATACAGTATGGTGTAAGCCCATTTAACACCTTCTGCTCAGATGCTGATAGGGAGTGGTTCAAAGAATTCCTACCTGTAACCCTTCCAAAATCATTAATCCCCGCTTTAGAAAATTTAAGGTTATTCAAATGTTTTTCTGGAGTCGAGAAATCAAGTCAAATTGGTTACACATCTGTTAAGGAGTGCCATGATGTTTTTGTTGGAGACGAGGACTTTCCAATTCAGTTTCCAAAGAGTATGATTATGACATCGACAAAAAAAGAAGAACGACTTCTATCAGAACTTTCCTATGAAAAAGTGGATCTCACAATTTGTGTCCAAACATGCATTGAAAAAATAACAACTGGTAGTCTTCCACTGAGTGAGGAAAATAAACGTAGGTTTTGCTTTTATGTATTAGAAAAGCAATCGATCCTGAGAAACTGGTGGAAAATTCAAACAGATTTGAGTTCAGTAAGGTTTATCAAAAATGGTACGAGAAAACTTCACTCTGCAAATGAACTTTATGATCCAAATGACCAGCTTTTACCAGAGCTTTTCCTTTCAGAAAACAAATTCCCAGATGAGGACGGAAAGAAGATGGACTTGCTAAGGCATTTAAAGTTTCAGAGTAGAAACAGTTCAGCGTACAAAAGCGATATTGTGCAAACATGCCAACTATTTGATTCGACTATTCATGAGCATTCCATTAAAGAAAAAAAGTCAAAAGCCTTATTGCAAGCTTTTCGACAAAACCAAAAACTTTTCAAGTCGGTTTACAACACAATTCACGGTTTCAAAATATTGCCCTTTAAGCAAGACAGGGACAGAAACTACCCCTTATCAATGGCGTGGTATTCAAATTCAGAAAAATTTGTCTCCTTAGAAATGATTTTCTGTTCAAAATTCGAGTACATTGCTGGATCAGTTCTACCCACATGTATTCAAGAATGGGAGGAACTTATTGATACTGATAAAGCACCTCAGTTGAATCACGTCATGCAGCACTTTTGCCTGGCTATGGAATGTTACAATGAGGATGAGCATGCGGGATACAGTTATCTCATGAGAGAAGTTTATCAACATTTAGCTAAAAGAAATTTGAGAGATTTTGCCTCATCAATTCCGCAGAAATGCGTTTTGACAGAATTAGGATTTAGAAAGGCAACGGACATTTACATACAACGCAACAAAACGGATGTCGATTTAGCGCCATATTACATTCTACTACCAAAGGAATACAGTCCACTAAAAGAATTTTTTGAGAGGCTAGGTTGCAGTAAAAAACAGTCTTGTTATCTTCTTGTTGAAGCACTGAAAAAAATAGATGGAAGGCAATTGGAGGCAGAAGACAGTAGTGATGTCAGCGAGGACATGGAAAAAGTGAAGAAAATTTTGAAGAAATTATCAGAATATGCAGAAGATGAATTAGCTGAAATAAGAGAAGAAATCCTGGTACCTATCCACAGTAAAGACACAAGTGCACTTATGTTTCGACCCTCACACGAATGTGCATACTCTGATTCAGATTGGTTCAGCAAGACATTCACAGAAGAAGATAACATTTGTCTAATTCATTCAAAGATTGACAAGGAGATTGCAAAGAAACTTGGCGTGAAGTCGTTAAAAAAATTTACACTATCAGATGCAGAAGAAATTTTCTCGGAATTCGGGCAGTCAGAACCATTAACCCAACGCTTGAATCGTCTTTTAGAAGAAGGGTACACAGATGGATTATCTGTTCCAAAAGAGCTGATTCAAAATGCTGACGATGCCGGAGCATCTGAAGTGTATTTCCTTTATGATGAAAGAGAAAATAAGGATGCGAGAAGTTGTCTTATAGACCCTGGAATGGAAGGATGTCAAGGACCAGCACTGTGGGCTTTCAACAATGCAGTTTTCTCTCCAAGTGATTTTCAGAATATTCAAAAACTTAGTGGCGCGACAAAAAAAGAGGACACTACAAAGATCGGGAAGTTTGGCTTAGGTTTCAATGCAGTTTACAATTTAACAGATGTTCCAAGCTTTGCAAGTGGAAAGCACTTGGTGTATTTAGATCCACATGGAAAATATCTAGGAGAAGCCATTATTCATGAGAAAAGTCCAGGGATCAAGCTTAACCTTTTGAATACAACCATGCTTCGTAAACTTGAAAATCAGTTTAAACCCTTTCAAAATGTGTTTGGATTTAAATCGTCAGAGTTTTCAGAAAAGAAAGGGTATAATGGAACGATATTCAGATTCCCTCTGCGTACAAAACATCAAGCTCTTGATAGTGGAATAAGTAGTAAAGAATACTCTCGGCATGAAATGGACAAACTACTGAAAATGTTTTGCAAATCAAGCGGGAACATGCTCCTATTCACTCAGAATGTAAAAAAAATTAAACTCTTTCATGTTGGAGAAAGAAGTACAAATCCTGATAAAGATATGGAGCTGGTACTTGCTGTCGAAAAGGAGGAAAACTTTGGAAATTCAGTGACACTCAACAATGAAAATATACTATGTGCAGCTTCAAGACAGTGTAGCAGATTGGATAAGTCCGAACACTTTTCATCAGTATGTAAAACAAAGATAACAATTGCTTCTTGGGGTCATTCATGGGTTGAAAATTTGACATCCAAAGAAGAAACCAACTGGATAATTTCTTGGGCACTTGGAAGAAAACAGTCTTTAAAACTCTTTCGAGAGAAAAGAAGTGACGGAGCACTTCCATTATCCAGCGTTGCAATTCCAGGGGATGTACTGAATAAACAATTTTCGCCTCGCTTTCTATGTGCAAGATCATCTGCTTTCAAAAGGTATGGATTCTATGAGACAGGCCATCTGTTTTGTTTTTTGCCATTGCCAATAAAGACTTCATTGGCTTTCCATGTTAACGGAACATTTGCAATATCATCTGATCGCCAGCGGATACTGGTAAGAACAGAGGATGACAAAGAAAATACAAAACAAACGGTGTGGAATAACTGTCTGATATCAGATGCAACATTGGAGGCACTTCTTGAACTTCTCATTGTTTTGAAGAATACCGTAACAGAAGAAAATACATTTTATGAATTATGGCCTAAGAAGGGTGAGGACTGCTTCTGGGAGACATTTCAACAAGAATTTTATAGATGTATTGTAGAGCGTGAATTACCAATTTTCAAAACGCATCTTGGATACAGGAAATTTCAGGACTGTATCTTTTTGCACATTGATGTGAAAGCTGACAATCGATTGCATCAGATTGCTCTCGACATTTTGAAGAAAACTCACTTAGAAGGAAGAGTCATTACAGAGATACCTGATGATGTCTATAGTGAATTGGAAAATTGTCTGGGTACTTTATTTTTGGAACATGTGGTGACATATGAGAGGTTCATCACAGAAAGCTTTTTACCGAGTATATCTCTTTTTAATGGGGAAGAATATGATCACATTGTCTTGGGTGCATTGAGATCAAGAAATAATGTAATTCTTTCAGCGTTGCAAAAAAGCGAATGTATCACAACTTCTCCAAGTGGTACAAAGAAATCACCAGGAAGCTTAGTCCATCCACGGTCCCTTGTGTCAAGAATATTCATCACAGAGGATGAACGATTTCCTGCAGAATTATTCTGCAAAGAGGATGACTTAGAAATACTTGTTAGAATTGGAATGATGAAGGATTACGTACCTTTTGAACTTTTGCATTCACAAACAAAAGCTATTGCCAACATGTCAGAATATTGCACACAGTGTGCATTGCTCAGATCTAAAGAAATTGTTAGTTATATACACAGGACGTTTCAAACCTTTTCCAAGGAAAATTTAGACAAAATATCCTGCTTAGCTTTTCTACCAGTGGGGAAAAAACCAATAAATTGGCCTGTGAAATGGCACAGTGAAATTGACAAGAAACGTAACGAAGTAATGAAATGCAAAACGCACAAAGAAGTTTTTTGTAGCATTGAATTATTTGAAAAACCATATAATTTGTATTTTCCTTCCATGCAAAAATTGGTTGGGTGTTCACAAGCAGTGATAGGTAGATACGATTTGTATCAATATTATGAGAGCGAGCTACAATCTCTCGGTGTCAAAAACGAAAAAGATGTAGATTTGGAAACCCTTAAACTTCAACTTGCTGAAATAACAAAGGTTCGAGAAGGTGCTCAAAATAAAGAAGTTGAAGATATTTGCTTTGAAATTTACAGGATTTTTTCAAAGCGAATATCAGAACCAGGAGTTGAAGAATTTATTCAAATGCATTTTCCATATTTGCCTTGTGTCATAACAGAAAAGACATTTGCATATCCAAAACAAGTAATCTTTTCCTTGATGTATGATTGTAGTCCTCATTTTTTTGGTTTAAGACCGAAATATGCCAGTCGATTTTCTTCCTTGATGGAAATTTTTGGTGTTCGAGAATCGTTTGAGGCAGAGGATATTATGCACGTGTTGTTTACAATGAAGGAACAATATGGCGAGACACAGATGCCTGCAGAGGAATTGGCTTTAGTTTGCCGGATGGCAATGCTGTTTGAAAATTGTCATTATATTCCAACTGAAAATCTCTACCTACCAGATTCAAAGGGTTTCCTTTGTCACGTAAATGATTTGTGCATTGATGATTTTGACTGGATTACAACAACAGACTCAATGAGATTTTTAAATGCTGCAATACCTTTGAGCGTGGCACAATTAACAGGAATCAAGTCCAAAAGAGACCAGAGCATTTTAAATGATTCTGAGGAGTTTGGTGATGAATTTGGACAACATGAAGAACTCACAACTCGAATCAGACGAATTTTAGATGGATATCCAGAGGCTTGTATATTAAAGGAACTTCTTCAAAATGCTGATGATGCTGGTGCATCAGAGCTGCATTTTATCAAAGATTTTAGATCACATGGTACGAAACACATTTTTAGCGACAATTGGAAGGAATTGCAAGGCCCGGCACTATGTGTTTATAATGACAGTGTATTCACTAAAACAGATCTACAAGGAATTCAGAACTTAGGAATTGGAAGCAAAGCAGACGATCCCACCGCTACAGGCCAATATGGTGTTGGATTCAATGTCGTTTACCATCTCACTGATGTTCCGTCATTTATTACCAGGGATTTTAAAGCTGGATTAGATACTTTGTGTATACTAGACCCTCATCTGAAATATATACCAAATGCATCTCCAACGAAACCAGGCCGAAAATTTCAGGATGCAACAAAAAAAGTGGGTACAAAATTTACAGACATCATGTCTGGCTATTTAGATAACAGTGGCATATGGAAGTCATTACGTGGTACTTTGTTTCGATTTCCACTCCGCTGCAATGACGAGTCCCTTCTATCTCGGAGAATAACTACTCGTGAAGGATTGGAGACACTCTTGGATGAGCTGAAAAAAGAAATGGCCGAATGTCTTCTATTCTTAAACAATGTGAGGGAAATTTCAATTTCATCTGTAGAAAAAGACGGTAGTCTAAGGCAGGAATTTATTGTTAAGGCAGAAGTTTCGATTGAATCATATGAAAGGGTAAGGTTAAACCAGTTCGTACAAGAGGTTCGACATCAAATGAAGAAAAACGCAACTTATGTCTGCAGTATGGGTAGAAAAGAAATTATGTATCATTTGAAAGTCGATGTTGACAACCAGTACACACAGGAATGGCTGATTGTTTCTGGATTCGGTTTTAAAGATGAAAAAAGAATTCCAGATAGAGTGAGAAAAGCATATGAGGAAAGACACCTAGCCTTATTACCAAGTTCTGGTGTAGCATTCAACCTGATGAATAAAAGATTAATCCAGAATGAAGATGGAACAAAAACTGTTTTTACACCATTAGATCTTTTCAAAGCATACTGCTTCTTGCCACTACCACTCATAACAGGTTTGCCAGTTCACATCAATGGGCATTTTGCCTTGGATCATGAAGCACGTCGCAATATTTGGTGGCCAGATGATGCATCATCTGATCTGAAACTAGCATGGAACACATGTCTGATTGACAATGTCATTGTCCCAACTTATATTTCTACTATTCAATATCTAAAAACTGCATTGTTCCCAAATATTGATACCAGAAAACCATGGAGACAATTGGATAAATTTCATAAAGCATTTCCATGGAAGGCAAAGTTAAAGGACAAGGTTTGGGAATATATGGCAAAGATTTTATATAATCAAATTGCAGAAACAGGTTGTCCTGTATTTCCAATTGTACGGAGAGACTATCAAATGTTGAAAATGGTAGATGGAAAGGATAATGTGAACGAAATGCAAAGAGATAAGGAACAGGAGGTTAAGAGGACAGACAAACCAATATTACAAGAGGAGTTATTGGAGATTAGATGGGTGTCTATACTGTCAGGTTCATTTCCTGCTTACTTCGATGAAATTAAGTACCAGCTGAAGGATGATTTTGTAAAGCAAAATTATGATGGCTATTACGGGCAGAGCTATACGGAATTAATGCGTTGGGCATCAAAACAATCTGAATTTCTCGCCGGTATTTTAAAGGATCTTGGGATGAAGCTTATCGAATCACCAATATGGATGTACATGAGCATGAAGAACGCAGGTGTCAATGTACACACGGTATCTCCAGAAGCCGTCTTGAAGTTCTTGAAATCATATGGTTCCAGTGATGTTGACAAGTGCAATGTTTGTAAAGTAAATGTGCACGTAACAGACACCAGATTTGGAAGTATTGATGGGGTGTATTTTCTCCTTGATTACTGTTTGAAGGATAAGAATTTGGATAGTGCGGAATTTGAACACGTTCCTCTTCTTTTAACAGCAGATGAGCAAATTCGTGAGTTCACCACAAGGGAAAACATGTACTTACTTTCGTTACCTGAATTGTTACCTGCATCTGCAAACAAAATTGTACATTTTTCACAGTTTGATTTATTTACAGATTTTAAAGTGTTCGAAAGCTTTGTGTCACATCTCCAAATTAAAGATTTTGCTAATCTGATTTATGACAACATTCCACAAAGATATTTAAGTGGATTGGTACAGCCATGGAATCAGCAGGAATTTGATATCCCAAACATGAAGTGGATAAAACAGTTTTGGTGCTTTCTCTCAGAAAATTTAGGATGTCTTGAACATGAACAAAGGTTGACAAGAATAAAGACAGAGACAAAAGGAAGCAATGTGGATTCCCCTGTAAATATACTAAGTAGCAGTATAAGGAAGCATTTAGCAGAATGTTGTTTTCTCCCTGTCCTTGTGAATGATGAACACAAACTTTATCCTTTCAAAGATGGTAAACATGTGTTGAAAATAATTTCTAATGTTAGTGGACCTGAACAGACAGCATTGACTTCACTGAATGTACCATTAGTAGATGAAGAGTGTTTACCTTCTGTGGAAGATGGGTATTTTTCGGAATATCATACTTTTGAAATTCTGAAGTGTTTAGTGACAACAGTTGAAAGTGTCACAGATGTATTGGACTGTCTTTTATTCAACAAAAGGCATTTGCATCTGGACAACGATTCCTCTCAATGTATGCTGGATTTCTTTGCCAAACGCCTTAAAATCCTTAAAAAGGCAGAAAAATGTCAAACCAAGCTCAGGTCTTTGCCCTTTTATTGTGGATTGAACAACAATTTTATTACTCTACCCAAAGGAACCATAATCGTGTTACCAGAGGATGTTCCTGTTGATGGCTTGGTTAAATTTGGTTTGCAAAAAGATATCTTGTTCATCAGAAAGAATGACGTATCATTGACGTTGCTTGAATATCTGGGTTGTATAGTGACATCAAAAGCAATATTATACATTCATTATATTCTGCCATATTTCCAAACCTTGCCATCGACAACTGTTATGATCCACTTGAAATATATCAAAGATATTGTTTTACCAGAAATGAATTATTATCAAGATGAAGACTCCGAAAAGAATTTGAAAGTATTAAAACAATTACTGCAAAATATTGCTTTTCTTCCGACAGAATCTAATCGATTAGCACGTGCTTGTGAATTCTTTAACCCACATAAAGACATTTTTAAGATCGAAAACCAGCTTTGCAGGTCTTCCGAACTGCCTCCAGCTCCTTTTAATGAACAAGAATGGGAAGATTTCCTCGTGCTTTGTGGAATGAAAAGTAATATTACTCCAGAGATTTTTCTGGATTTTGCAAACCGGCTGCAAAGATTGGGTAAATCAGAACTATTGCCGGTAGTAATGACGAATTCTAGACTTATGATGAATATATTATTTCATGAAAACCCTGAGTTGTTGAACGATTTTGACTTGGTGAGTAAAGTACAGGAAATCAAGTTCCTTACCCCTCATTCAGTACAACAAATTTATATGACTATAGCACCAGAGTTTGAAAATGGAAATAAATTGGTTTGTTTTCGTAACTCAACTACGCCAACTAATGCTCTCCTTGTCTGGTCAGTGATGGGAATCGTATCAGAAGACCTGATAAATATGATGCGAAAAACAGATATAATCACAGCAACAAATACCTTGGGTCTTCTTGAACATCCTCCCATTCATGTTGTGCTAGATCACACAAGAGTTGTTTGCAGTGTCCTCAAAGATCAGTTGGAAGAGCGTATTGCAAGGAATAATGATATTGAAGAGGCGGTGACAACAATGATGAGTAAAATCTACGGGTATTTACAGAAGAATACAAATGAAGAGTCTAAAGATAAGTTAAAATCTATTCCATTTATCTTTATTAAAGACAGAAAATTGCTTGTGTTGCCTGAACAAGTTGTGTTGGACATTAGCGAATATGAGGAAATTCCTCCATATCTGTGTAAAGCACCGTTGTACTTTGGTCAGTATCATACCATGTTTGAGGTGCATGGTGCAGCAAAATCTTTAACATGCAGTCATTTGGCCAAAGTGTTGGATAAGATATGGATTAAATCAAAGGGGAACATTTTAGAACCAAACGAGAGATACAGTGCAGAAAAAGCAGTGCAACTTTTGTTCTCGAAACTTAAGTTAGAGGAAGTAGTTGATTTAAAGGTGTTGACTTTATACCTACCAAGTAAGAAAGGGAACTTGCAACGCAGTGATTCTTTGGTATTTGTGGACCATAAATTTTTAGAACAAAGAATCGGAGAAAATATGCCAGATTTGGATTTCTTTATTGGATTTAAAGAGTTGAAGATTGAAGCACATGATCCGGTTCTGGAGATAAGTCGACTTCCTGAGAAATATAGGCCACATTTACTGTCAAAAATTGTGATTGAACAATTAGACACGGATTGTGAAGACTGGGTAATTCCATCTGATTATGGGAAACAACTTCAGAAATTCTTGCATTGTCCTGAGTTTGTATTGGGAGTATGTAGACTAGTTAGGGATGAATATTACAATAATGACAAGAATTTCGGGGAAAAAGATAATTTGGAAATTTTGGAAAAACTTCAGTCAGTGGTTGTGGTTTGTGTTGAAAGACTAACAACAGTGATGGCATATAAGAACAAAGCTTTACCTAATACGGCAATGCAGAGAGACGTATTCTCAGCTCAAAGTTTGGATGAAAAGGACTGTGAAAAATTATACATATATTTTGGAGTAGCAAAAGATTCAGAAATAAAAACTTGGATCAATCGTATTTCAAAGCATTTATCAACTATCTTGAATACATATCTTGGTAAACCTTTGAAAGAAAACAACATTCACCTTCCAGATGTATTGAAATGCATTGGAGACCCAAGTGCCATTGAAATAGAGCTTGATCAACAAGAGATTCGAAAGATTGATGTGGGAATAATGACAAATACTCTCCTATTTATGCCTGAACTTGGTTCAGAAATCCCAATATCATTACACCATCTCTTAGATAACTCTTGTACATACATTGAATCTGGAACGTTTGTAGCATATGAATTATTTGACCCGATTATTGATGAAGATGATACATGTGATGCAGATCCTGTATATATACTTGCCAAAGTGCTGCAATTGATATCTGATCACACAAAAAGTTGTCCAAATGCTGATGAGTGGAATATCCTCTACATTATAGACATAGGGAGTGAAAATGCAATTGAAGCTGTTGCATCTAGTATATATAAGTTTTTCCGGAACGATGATAATGATAGAAGTGTTGATGTAGTAGATGGTGCTGTTGTGTTCAGGTGGAAAACAGATCAAATAAAGAGTTATATCAGGGATGTTCTAAGAAATGCCTTCAGAAGAACACATCGGGATTTCAAAAGAGCAATTAAACGACTTCTCCTTCAATATCATCCAGACATGCATCAAGAGAACCAGGATTATTTTAATGAGTTGACCGTTTTCATATTCTTCATAAAAAAAAGGTTAGAGGAAGGCAAGTCCGTCGATGATGTTGATATTTTCGAAAACTTCAATAATATTTCACATTCGCCCGCATCTGAATTTGAAAAAACGTGTAACCGTCGTGCGGCAAATTATGTTAGAAGAAAGAAGGAATATAAGTCTGGAGGACTAGGAGGAGGAGGGAGATCAAGCTTTTTCAGAGATTTTATTGTGAAGGGACCTCAACCAGGACAGGCCATGCGGTGGTTTCGACAAGCAGAATTTGACTTCCTAGCTACCTCTACAGATAAAAACCAACCTAATGCATACAACTGGGCATGCTACAAGTCCCATCAGGTAAATCATTATTTTCATCATATTTGTAATTGATCCTTAAAAATTTAGCATAAAGAAATTTGATATACAGTATATTTGAAGTTTACGGGAAGAAATAGTTATCTCTAGGAGAATAAAAAATGTGCTTTTGATTAAAATGATTGCTGAGGGAACAGAAAGAGATAATTTTCTGTTTAGAAAGGGGAAAAAAATCAGATTTTAAAAAAATAAAGTGACTTCTTATTTCTTGGTTCATAGTCTGCAGAAAAAGCCCTTAAAGCACTGTTGTATCAAAGGGATGCAGACCAAGTAGATCGCGTTCACAATTTAGCTGCACTGGTTCAAGGACTTAATGATTTTGAACTCTCTGGACTTGCCCGTCAATTGGAAGGAATAACTGGCAATTATTTCCGAATGCGATATCCAGATGCTGTTCCAGGGGGGCACGGCAAGGCTACTCCCTCTGATATTTACACCCCAAATCAAGCTGAAGAAGCTGTTGAAATCGCAGGAAAAATTCTGGAACTTGTGAGAAGAAAGATTCCATATCTTTAACAAAAATGGTAAGAAAAATCATTTTCTTACCAAATACAATAATATCAAGTTTAGAATGTAATCTTTACACGTTTAGAGGTGGTCAACTAAGAGAGCATTCTTAGTAACCAAGGGAAGGGATAGATTATTTGTTGTTTTCTCTTTCTTTGACTTTAAATTTTATATAAAATTGCATTTTAAAAAAACCAACGCTACTAATTCATTTTAAATGAATCACAAAAAAACCAAATACACACATAATCAAATAAAGCATAAAATAAATATGGTCTGTTTAATAAAATTTAAACTCACGTTGTTGTTTATTTTTATAGCTTTTTCTGTGTGTGATAGTAGATTCTGTAAACATTTTCTTTCACAGGAAACCAAGAAGACATGATGATCAATATGCTTAAAATGCCGGGGAATTAACAACATGGTGTACCAACAAATTTAACTACATATTGCAAAAGAGAAAAGAGTGAAACAGTTGAGAGGCCTTTAGTGTGGTAATCAGCAAAATGTCACCAAAAGCTTATAAAATAATTTGTACTACATATATGTATAAATGTATACTGTTGTAAATATTTTAAGATAATATGTAGGAAGTAAATATTTTAAGATAATATTTTGGAGGTTTATATGTACTTAGCTACCTGAACTTTTATTTCGTGCATGACATGGTACGTGTATGTTTTACAATTCATGTTCATATAGAAAATGTTAATGCACAAACTTAGTGGACTGTGTAATGAAAAGGATTTTAGTTTGATGATTTTAATCTTATAAAAGTAGGCAATTTTTTTTCTACTGAATTATGTGTAGAGGAAATTGCCTGAATATGTGTAAATAAAAATGTAAAATGTAATTTATATAATTTTATTTGCTCTCATTAATTTTGTAAATGATTTTAATGATATGTACAATATATGTTTCATAGATTTGTATATATATATATATATATATATATTTATTAGGGATGTCAATTTTATTCGGACAGCGTCGAATAGTCGGAGGCTTTAGTCGAACGATAGTCGAAAATTCGTTGAAATTTAAATTGATTTTTCATGTCATTTTCACTATTTGTCTTTTATAGACTAGTTGTACAATATTTAACCTACGCTGTTACCATTATACAACGAATTTCTGAATTGTAAACATTTACGCAGTACAATAAATACTGTACATCTACATTAATTTTATCCAATGCATTTGATTTCAAAATTAATATAATATTTACTGCAAATTTTATCTAAATGCAGGATATTAAACGCTTGCATTTGTCCTTTCTTTTCATAACGATAGTAATTGAAGCCATTTCTACGTGTCGGTGACCTTTGTTTGGTAGTTTAGTAGTAGTGCTAGTTGTTTTTGCTTCTCTCTTTCCTTTGTTTTTATGACTTCTTAACTTTTTTCTTTGTCCTGAGGAAGGGACAGGTCGTCCCGAAAATTTGACAATTATTATTGTTCGTGTCGTTGGTCATTTTTAGTGCTATATATATATATATATACGAGGGGTGATCAAAAAGTTCGCGAACTATCTCTATTTTTACAAAACCACAATTCAGATCAGAATGACATTTGGCACACATACAGTCATACAAATTTTCTATAAATAGCAGATGTTATGTGATGTTTTGCTCCATGTTTGTGACGTCACAATGTGAAAATGACGTCTATGTGTAGAAGACTTGTGACAAAAAATGGTTGACTCAGTCGTACTCGAGCAACGAAAGGCTGTAAAGTTTTTCGTACATTTTGGAAATTTCTTTGCTGTAACATATAATAATTTGTAAAAAGTTTATGATGGCAAAAGACTTGCCAGAAGTTCAATCATTAATTGGATTGATTGTTTTAGTGAATGAAGGGAGATGGTTAAAAATGATGTTTGTTCTGTTGCCCTGTGGAAGCAAGCTTGGGAAAAGATTTGTCCTTAGTTGAGCAATCTGTTATGAAAGATCGCCAAGTTACAATTAGAAAAATGGTTGAATATCTTAACAATAATATAATAATTAAATCCCTTAAGGGTTTTTATCACGTATCGAAATTTCTTAAAAATGAAACACTATTATTTTCTTGAAACATATAATTATCGTTTAATTATGAAATAATGTTGAAAACGGCCGTAATTAGACGATAAAACGCCCGTAATATTGGGTCCTCGAAGTAAAAATCTCCACTAATTAGATAGGGGTCACGTGGTACTGAAACGTCATAGGTGTCAATGGTCAATAGAACTCGTAAAGCTTATCGTAAAATATATTGAATAGATTTTTACGCTAAATAAATAGAATACATAGTATGGCCGGTTGAAATTTTGACATCGACTAGATATTCCTTTAGTTATGGACAGTCAATCTTTTAGGTATGAACGTCTAGAGAGAAATAACCAGAAAATATGCCGACAATTGGAGAGAGGTCACCGAAGACGAAGCCGTTGACAACTCGGGACTTCAACTAAATAGAACGAATTACTAAAGTTTAACTTCGTAAACATTTATAATATGGGAATTTTAAATTATCGTTCATTATTATTTTAATTAATTATAAATAAATGAATCCTGTATATCTTCTATCTGTTCTAGCAGTGAATATCATGTACTAGAAATGACACTTCTTCAATGGTGCCGTACGCCATTACGAAGTTCACAACATTCTTACTAGATTCTGTGCGACTTTTAAAAATGCGTGTTTGCCATTTATTATTTTTTAAAAGTGTCTTTCCTTAAAATATTTTATAGGACAGAAAAAAATTGTGATCGATCGGGCATGAACTATTGTTCTGAATGGAGATAAACGCCATAGCATTTGCAGAGAAAGGGCCCCCTTTCTTCTCTCGACCAAGTCCAGGAAATGTGGGGAAAAATTCTATCTAAAACCTTTCTTGTGCACATTTGTGCACCATAAAGCCATAAATTATACCTTACAAGCTGTCAATTATTCAATTTTCACTTAATTATTTTCTAACAGGTTTAATAGACACAACAAATGAGCCCTTTTGTATACACAATAAGTACTTCGCTTGACCAGGATTGACACCTATGACGTCAGAGCAATAGCGCGTAACATCGGCGATCAAAATATGCATATTGAGAAATTAAAACTTTGAATCGCTGAAACATCAAAAATATTAATTTTCTAGCAAAGATGTTTAAATATATGATTCTAATAGCATGTAAACTTTGTCATATCAAAAAATTTTGAGACGTGATAAAAACCCTTAAAATATCGTTTACTTTAGACGTTAAACATATCAAATATGATAAGAAGAAGGCGCCCATGCTTTATCCACATTGGATAAACGACCCTCCCAAGACAGATCGAGGACTCGGATTGTGATGGTCACCATGCTCATTCTGGGAAAGGATATCCTTATCCGCCCATCCTATTGCCGGATTTAGCCATTTCTGACAAATGGACTGTTCTTGTTATAAAAAATAACTTTCATGGAAAGAAGTATAAAACTTGGAAAAATCTTAACGCTTCTGTGAACAGAACGCTAAGGAGCATGTCACGTGACCGCCTGGATTACGTGATTCGCGCACGGGCAGAACGGTGGAAGATGTGCATTAAAATCGGAGAGGACTACTTTAAAGAATAATGAACACTGAAATCTAATTTTATTTCTTTTATGGAAGCAATTCAATTAGTTTGCGAACTTTTTGATCACCCTTGTATATGTTATCAAAAAGTTCGTGGACTAGCGCCATACAATTAAAACCGCTTTTGGTACATCAATGGATTTAAACAAATTTAATTTGAAAAATCTGTTCTATCCATAGAATAAACCATAAATGATAAGTTTTATTTTTTAAAAAATGGTAAATGTTTTTGTAAACAATGCTGTGTATAGGCGGCGCAACCTCAAATAGATATATGACGTTTTTTCTACCTGAGTATAACAGAAAAACTCTTTTGATATGAGCATTTGTCATAAAAAAGGCATGTGGTATGACACAATTGTTCCGTAAAATTTGCAATTTTTATCCCATTCTGTAAGTTCTTTGAAATTTTATCGTAAAGTTTATATGGAGTGTCTACAAAAAAAAAATAAAATGCATCAAGAGGACATTTTTTAAATACCCAAAAAGATTCAGAGAGACGAAAGATACACGGTTAATGTGGATTTGTAGTTAGGGTGTCAAAGGTTAGTCACGTCGAAAAGTGACGTTGAACATGTGTCGTTGAAATTTAACTCCAGAAAGCTAAGTATTCTGGCATACATCATGTAATCAGGTGAGGATCTTTCCCTATGTATAGATCCATTATTATATGCACTCAAAGCAGCAGTTCAAAATCAGTAGCAGCAGTTCAGTATTGTAAAGTCATATATTTGCATTTGCAAATGTTTTCTTTTATATAACACTTTATACATGCGCGGATCCAGGAATTGAAGTTGCGAGGGGGGGGAGAGACAAAAAGTAGGCAGGGGCTCCGCGGGCCTGGATTCTAGAGTTTTGTAGGGTAAAAATGATGTCTACCGAGTAGACATTTTCACATTTTCTCGACAAAACTATGATTTACGCTAACGTTGACAGTGCACCCCCGCTTAAGGTAGGTCGCGGGTTTGCTTTTGTCATCAATATTGGTACACAATCTCGACCATTCGAGCGGTTGTTTTGTGCACATCTGATTATGACGACAGTTCACAAAGGCGAAGTTGCATTGCTTCCCGTTAAATTCTCTAAAAATTACTTTAGCAGTAGTCCGTACGAACCGTAAATTAATACAAATTATTACAGTACATGTTATTGTAGATAAACCTCGTACAATGTATGAACCAAGAGGATTATAAGTTTTAATTCTGTTGTGATTATGTGTACTGTTCTAGAATAAACTATAATAAAAATTAATAAATACGATACCAAATGCAAGGAATAATTTATATCGTAAGTAATACTAAACTGCTAAAGTTCAATCAAAATGAGTAAGTGTAAAAGTTATGGTATGCAAAAAGAAAGTTAACAAAAATTGCTTAGCAGTTTTAAATTTTGAAAGGTTGTACAATGTATACTGGTGTCTAATAATATCGCGGTACTTATTTCTTTTGCGTAAAAATGTTATTCCAAATTCATACATTAACTTTTCATTTAATACTATTCATAAACCTATCAATGGCCTAACTTTTTAGTGGCTAATTATTTTCTTAGCTTTCTTCGTTTACTTTGTAGTCTATTTTTAAAACAAGAAGTCTTATTTACCTCCAAAAGTGGAGAGTCTCATTGTATCGCGATATTGAAAAACATGGAGGCTTGAAACTGTCACAAAGTACAATTTTTATTTTTTAATTTATGATGTAAATCTACATAAAAACTTAACAATAATACAAACTTAGGGCTTTCAAAATATGAACTTTATTATGGATTTTACTTGATTATATATTCAATGGTCTAAATAAAATAAAAACGGGAATGGAAATCTGAAAAACATCGTTTTATTTGAAAAAATGTTTTTCCAACGGGT